GATATTACCCCCCCAATATTTAAATCTATGCATTACGACCCCCCCATTATTTATTTCATGATCACAATATCAGGAGGCATACCCAAACTTCAACCCCCCCAATGTTCAAACCAAATCTACGCCCTTGGCTGTGTGTGTGCGCACTTGGATGCTGTGTATATATATATATATATTTATTTTTAATTTTTTCACCACTTGTCGTGTGGGGCTCTGTATTTTTATTTTTAAAAACATTGTTTTAACTACATTTTTATGACTGAATTATTAGCTTTTCATTGAACTCACAAACGCCCTGCAGTTCCCTCACTAACCACCACTAAATTCGCAAACCCGAGTTTAGGAAGAGAACCGGCACAATCTTGGTGGAAAAGGGGTATTTTACTCATCTTGTAATAATGACTTAAATGAGCTTGTTGTTTCTGCCTTAAAGGAGAACTCCGGCGCAAAATGAACCTTTGGTCTAATTACACATTGTTACCTAGTCAACCGTTATCTGAGATTTGTTTTCATGATTATCGAATGTAAATAAAAATCGCTTGTTAATACCACTAACAAGGCTCAAAATAGCCCCACACTAACACGGTAGCGTAATGAGGGTCCCTACCTTCAAACAAAGTTCTCAATGCTTCGGTTTGAAGGTAGGGACCCTCATTACGCTACCGTGCTAGTGTGGGGCTATTTTGAGCCTTGTTAGTGGTAGTAACAAGCGATTTTTATTTGTCATTACTCTATGCCCAATACACTAGCGTTATACTAGCTTTATAGGCTAAACTGTTTTTAGAGATAAAACTGTTTACATTCGATAATCATGAAAACAAATCTCAGATAACGGTTGACTAGGTAACAATGTGTAATTAGACCAAAGGTTCATTTTGCGCCGGAGTTCTCCTTTAAATGAATACGTTGTTTGCTAACTGCGTGATTTGTATATGTACTTGGACACGGTCATCTCTGATAACTGATCACTCTAAATTGCACTGTAGACACATGCATTTTCTGTAAAGCTGCTTTGAAACGATGTGTATTGTGAAAAGCGCTATACAAATAAATGTGAATTGAATTGAATCTATCTATGGCACTGAGCTTATCCCGAGCCCTCTTTTGCTGCTTCTCTAGGTGGGTCCAGCTGGCTCTCAGTTTGGCATCCTGGCCTGTCTGTTTGTGGAGCTGATTCAGAGCTGGCAGATTCTGGCTCAGCCGTGGCGGGCCTTCACTAAGCTGCTGTGCGTGGTGCTCTTTCTGTTTGCCTTCGGCCTGCTGCCCTGGATCGACAACTTCGCCCACATCTGCGGATTCATCTCGGGCTTCTTCCTCTCCTTCGCCTTCCTGCCCTACATCAGCTTCGGCCGCCTGGACATGTACCGCAAGCGCTGCCAGATCATCATCTTCATGGTGGTGTTCGTGGGCCTGTTCGCCGGACTCGTGGTGCTCTTCTACGTGTATCCCATCAAGTGTGAGTGGTGCGAGCTGCTCACCTGCATTCCTTTCACCGACAAGTTCTGTGAGAAGTACGACCTCAACGCGCACCTCCATTGAGGGAGAGGCGGGGCTTCGGGGACGGAGGGATTCGATTGGTCGTTAATCTGCATTCGCCGGCCCCAATTTGCACTTCGTCTCTTCCAAATGAAGCCCTTTCTGTGAACATGGACAGTATGCTTGTTTTGCTTTTTTTTTTACTCGAGTGCAAGGTGGAACTCCACTTTGACCATGATTTTAGGACTCTGAGAATGAAGAACACTTTTTAACGTATCCTAAAGTTTTATGTAGTCTAAGGGTGTCTGATAATCATACGAAAACTATCTTTACACTACAGTCTCAGAAGGCAGTGTCATAATAAAAGCACTGGTACACCAAACGGAGAACACATCTTCTCCAATTTTGATTGTTGTACTTTTTTATGTTTTAGCATGTCAGGGGTAGGTTTGTCTTTGTTTAGTCGACCTCAGAATCCAGGGACGAAAAAAACTCTGTACCTTTGGTGCCTTGATAAATGTACCTACTACTGCCATATTTTCGTTACACGTTTAGCACTCAAATGATATTCTTTTATTTGTGTGTTACTTCTAATGGAGTTATAGTTGATTATGAAAGGGTAGTGTTTTAGCTACCCAATTTACACACTTGTCACAGAATACAGCTAAAAACAACCTGCACCTCTGAAGTTTGTCTGTTTTTCTTGTCTACTATACCATAAACAAGCTCTAAAATATGGTTGCTCATTTCCACCTCAGAGTGAAGAAAAAATAAACATGTAAAAGTGACTTGATCTCAATGTGACTGTTTCTCGACATCACATATTGCACTGCGACTGTTTATCAAAATAGCTATGTTTCCATCCACCTATTTTAATTCACATTTTGCGGTATTGCATAAAAATGCTGGATGGAAACGCCAAGATGCGCATACTAAGCAATGTATGTGCTCAATTGAGGCTGATCATTTTTTATCCACATTTACCAATGGAAACATTTACCGAATAAATCCCTCGATGCGCAACAAAAAAACTTGCATGACTTTGCCTCAACAGAGGATGTGATTGGATAACATCCCTAACCAGGGGACCAATCGCATTGCACAGCATCCCAAATGTTGGTTTGATCATTCTGAAATGCTTGAGCCAAAATCTCAGAATGATTTGGTTTAATTCTCTCTGAGAATCGTCTCACATGATTGCGTTCTCAATAGGGGGGTAACGGTACTCGTATTGAACCGTTTCGGTTCGAGGCTTCCGGTTCGGTACGCATACAAACCGAACGATTCCTTGGACCATTTTTCCTGCCGACAAAATTCGTGCTGGCGCGGCCACCACAACGTTGCGCAACATTAAATGGCAAGCAGAACGAAACTGCGCTACTCATTATGTGCTTCACGGACCGTTTATCAGTTCGGACCAGCAACATCTGTGCAGCGCGAGCCGATCTTGATCAAGCGACACTGTTACAACCTTTCTATGATTACAACACAGCGCTAAGAGATCCAGTGAAGAAAACATTTGAATTCGCCACTGAAGTAATAACATCGCTGCGAGATCTAGTGAGAAGCATTCACATTTCTCCGTTATTAACCGTAGATCAAACAGCGCTGACGTGGACACCAGGAGAAATATTGTGCCGTGAATGAACTAGTAATAGGCCTACTTTGTCCACAGACCAGCAACATTCACCATGGATTTAATATAACACTAACTGTAACCAGTTTGGCTGGAATAGTGAAATGCCTTCAAGTACTTCACACATCTTTTTCCAGCACTTCAAAACTCAAATATTATATAAATAAATATATGAAGAGTTCAGATGCAAAAGCCTCTAAGTGCCATTTGAAATTTTCTTCTAGAATGATCATTTTTATGAAGCTTGTATATTTAAGTTCAGTAATTTCACTCAAATGACAATTAATAGGTAATCTTCATTGCCATTTAAGTGAAATTACTGAACTTAAATATACAAGCTTGATAAAAATGATCATTCTAGAAGAAAATTTCAAATGGCTTTCGCATCTGAACTCTTCATATATTTAAATGTTATTTTTAATGTGATGACCAAAACATTATTTGTTCATCCTTCAAAGATGACACCCATTTATAAACCTGAAAGTTTCAAGATGTAGGAAAACTCAACTTATTTAAAAAAATATTTTTCTTTTAACAAATAGGAAATTTCTCTGGCATTTCTTACTTTTTGCTGTATCAAAAACGTACCGAACCGTGACTTTAAAACCGAGGTACGTACCGAACCGTGATTTTTGTGTACCGTTACACCCCTAGTTCTCAAACACCAGCGTCCAAACGCAAGATCACATGTCAGAGTTTATTATCTTTGTCTGTAAATGCAGTCATTTACTGTATGATGGAGGAAAAAAGAGCCAGTTTCTTCCCCGATTGCCAGCAACTTCTATTTTTATTACAGATATTTTGCACCAATTTCTCATTATTGCAACACAGTGTGACTTAATATTTCACAATTGTGACCTTGTTTCTCGTTATTGAGACTTCATAAAGTGCAATGTAAATGTCTATTTCTCATAATCGTGATGTTACATCTCGCAGTACAACTCAGTATATGGCGATGTGACTTTATTTCTCATAATTACAATCTTATTTGTCAGTGACTTAATATCTAACAATTGTGACTTTATATTTCACAATGTGAGTTTATATATGAAGAGTTCAGATGCAAAAGCCTCTAAAAGCCATCTGAAATGTTCTTCTAAAATGATCATTTTTATCAAGCTCGTATATTTAAGTTCAATAATTTCACTTGAATGTCAAGAAAAATTACCCATTAATTGTCATTTAAGTGAAATTACTGAATTTAAATATACGAGCTTGATAAAAATGATCATTTTAGAAGAAAATTTCAGATGGCATTTAGAGGCTTTTGCATCTGAACTCTTCATATAGTGACTTGCCTTTATTTCTCCTAACTGCAACTTCATATCTTACAATTGCGTCTTTAAATCTCAGTGTGAATAGTTCTTTTTTTCTTTCTTTTTCAAACTACTTTTCTCCCTCTGAGGCGGAAACAGACGTCCATACCAAACCACTCTGACGGGTTAGGAACAAAGTTATGATGGTACCAAGGATAACTTAATGTATCCATAAACCTAAAGAAATGCTTTCTCACCACTGTGCATAAAATACACATTACAAAAATATAGCTTTGTTATTAGATTTTTTATTTTTTATTGATTAAGATAGGCATTTTTGTATGAATAATGCCACAGAGAATGTTTATGGATGTTCTAATTAAAGTTTACATCAGTTCATACACTGTATACATAGATTGCATTTCAAAACACATTGTCACATATGCAGTAATATATTAGGAAGATTTTATTCTAAAACAGTATTCAACATTTCACTTTCCACTTGCAATCCAAGGGATGGAACATTATATAAAAAATAAAATTATGTGTAAAATTTTCAATTAAATTTTCCAGAAGAACGATTCTGAATTCACTTTTTGAATGGTTTTGTACCAATAGTAGACTATTATTTATGTAAAATTTTATTATAGATGAAAGAAACTTCAAACATCGAACAAAATTATAAATATGGTGACTAATTAATTGTTAAAAACAACCACTGTTTTTTTGACCAGTAAAGTGTGCAGTGTGTCTTGGGCAGTTGACAAGAAGAAGAAAAATAAATGCAGTAAACAACCAACATCTGTGTGCAATCTCTTTAAATGAGTGCATAGGCAAGTCTCTGGTTCTTTGCTTAGGTGGCATTAGGGCTTTGAGTCCTGAACTAGGTGAGAGCCGTCCAGAATCTACACATGATGTCCTTTATCAGGATTGGATGTGCTGTAAGCTAAAGAAACCTAACATCCGCTGTTTCGTCGTGCATAAGCCAGGCCTCTGAGCTGATACTCCATCTCTGTGAAGGTCAAGGCCCCCACACTGATGGCCGAGTGACCCTTCTCCTTGAAGCCAGCTTTCTGGTAGAAGGGCACCAGGAACTCCTCACAGACCAGCAGGGCCCTGCGCAGGCTGGGGAGACAGCGCAGATACTGCAGGTAGCGCCAAAGCAAGATGGAGCCTTTGCCCTGCTGCCGACACTGGCGGTGCACTGACAACACGTGGATGTGTACCGCGGGAGAGTCTGGGACGTGTGTGTTCATGGCCTCCTGGATAAGAAGGTCAAAAGATGGTTAGAATCTAAACGCATTCTAACTGAACTGATACAAGGTTTCTTTAAAGAACCACATAGGTGTTTTTTCAACAAATACACTGTAAAAAAGTGTAGTGTAGTGTAGTGTAGAGAATCACTTCTCACCTGTCCTAGTTTCTCTTTGTCCCAGCCAGATCCAATGATGAAGGCCACCAGCTGGCCCTCTTCAAACCATCCCAAAGAGAGCTCAGGACACTGACCCAGGAAACTAAGCACCTCATCAAGGGTGAGTGGACATTCCCCGGAAACTGAGACGAACGCTGCAGAGGGAGAGATGAGAGAGATACAGGGGTGAGTCAACCCTCATCCCAACGCAAACAACAGCTTATCGGCAGATTAGCAGGTTTATCGCAATCAAGTCGGCTTGTTGACTGCAGTCTTCTAGTTTTCTATATATACAACTTGGGAAGTGCTTAAGGACTTTAGGACTGGTTTGATTTAACTCGCCTACAAATAAGTGTGTGTTGGTGTGTATTTACAGTATTTTATGGGGCACCAATTTTAAAATGAAGAGTTCTGTAAATAAATGTTACATTTTCCCAGGCTTTCCAAAACCATCATTATTATTATTATTTTTTTTTTCATTTATTCAAAAATAATGTATTTATTAGTATGACACACACCATTGTTCAAAAGTATTGGGTTGGTAAGATATTTTCAGGTTTTTACTTATGCTCACCAAGGCTGCATTTATTTTATCAAAAATATGAATAAAAAGTGAAATATTAATACTATTTAAAATAACTGTTTTTGAAATAACAATTAGATTTTTTTTTTTTTTTACGAATTTAATGTCTTTGAAATGTGCTGTAGGACTACAGTAGTACTGCCAAAACATTACAGAAAATTAAATTAAAATAAATAATAAGTAAAGAAGGTCAATCTAAATTCACAGCTAAATAAGTATTTATGCAAATTGACAAATCTCTTGCTTACAAATTGTAACCAGTAAAGTAAACTAAAGATTTGTAAGAGTAATGCCTTCAGTGTTTGTCACCTGCTGAAAAACTAAATTAGGCCTATAACTAAAATTAAAACTAAATCTTACAACATTTTTTCACATTTACTGACACTGCACAACCTTCTTTAACAGCATTTTAAATCATTTGGTAAAATCTATTTGCAGCACCCCAATATATCCCCACCATGTCTGAGAAACATCTTACCTTGACTAAAGCGGGAGGACTATGACAAGAATATGATCTCTAAAGTATATGGGAAATAACTATAACCAGAAGAGGGCAGTAATGCAACGTCAAGGATGCAAGCTGCCGTTAAACCCCAAAGAAAAAGAAGAACATCATCTTACCTTCTCTCTCTATCTCAAATACACTAATGGCGTCCTGTGGGGTGAGATTACGGAACTCGCTAGCGGGTAATGTGTGTCGTCGCTGGCGTCGCGAGCTGCCAACGCTAAGCGGCGTCTTCAGGAAGAACGGCTTCAGGAAGGGTGAGCTGACGACCTGAGGTGCCATCATCTGACACGAGCTCACTTCGGACGGCTGGAGGACTAACTTAGACTGTTTGTAATAGTAGAGATTTTCCTTCACTTTAAAGTTTTAGGACACTGCTGTCTTTCCGTCAGTCTTTGTCCGGGCCGCTCTCTTCTATGGTCTGATGTGTTTGAATCCTATCGTTCAACCTCGCTGCTGTCACCTCTCCTCCTCTTTAACCCTCCTTTGGGCTCTTTACCAGCCCGCCCCACATCTCCTAAAGTGTCCCGTGTTTAGAGGGATAGTGATGGATGCACGTGGCAGGTGAAGCTGCACCAATTCCCTAAAAGTCTGTGTGCTAATAGCCTACTCTCAACACAGCTCATCAGCCACTCTTACAAACACTTACCCAGAAACTGTTTGTACAGCCAAAGCAAGCTTTGGAGTGTTTACGCCAGCCCTGATATGAGCCACATCATGTCTATTTTGAATATGTCTTGCTTCAATGCATAACTGAAATAATGAATGCAAACAATAAATGGTCAAGGGCAAGGCAAACCATAATAGGCTACTGTATCCCATGTTGTAACCAGTCCCGTTAAGATCACTTTACATCTGTATAGCAACCCCTGGCTGTATTATTAAAATTATTGGTAACACTTTACAATACGGGTGCACTAATATGCATTAATTCATGTTTAACTAATGCATAGATAATCAGTTAATGTATGATTCATGAAGAACTAAACCATTAATTAATGATTACTGCATCAGCAACTAATAAAGAGTCTATATGATTAATAGATTAAGTAATTTCTATTAATTCGATGTGTCATTGTGTATTAATTCCTTAATAACATATTTTATTAACTAATAGTGTAAATTAATGTGTTAATTACCACAATTAGTCAAAGCTATGCACTTCAACTTCAAGTTGTCTGCTTTAATTAATCATTAGCTAATGATTTGCAAAGGTATCATTATGTTATGACTTTACTTGTTGAGGCACATCGTTATTAACTAGTCATTTAGTAATTGTAGTAATTTACACATGAATTTGCACTAACAATGAAGTAATTAATCATGTATTAATGCATATTAGTGTACCTGTATTATCTGGAAGTTGAAATACAAGGCTTTGGCTCATTCTGGCAATTAACATATTAATTAACACTATTAGTTAAAAAAATGAGTTATTAGGGAATTAATTCACAATTACATATTTAATTAATAACAATTCATGTATGAACTAATACATTAACCATACAGACTCTTAATTAGTTCCTAATGTGGTAATCATTAATGAATAGCTTAGATAATCATTAGTTACACATTAATTCAGTATTATCTGTGCATTAGTTAAGCATGAATTAATGCTTATTAGTGCACCCGTATTGTAAAGTGTTACCAAATTATTCATTCGATGAAGAATGTATTATCTTTGCCATATAGTATAATTAATGCATAGCATATCATGTGCCTGAAGGTTAATTTAAATATGTACATATTTATTTACACACTGCTGTTCATTTTTATCCCACAACGTCGTCCTTTTCAAATCTACACAGTCTAAGGCGCTTTCAGAACTCTTTGAGCATTTATGTTTTAAAATGACATCAGACAAACTGAAGCTCTGGGTTAATGCTGGACCACCTCACTCAGATGACCTACAGGAGGAGTTCAATTTAAGATGACTCGACCTTCAACAACCCTTCGGAGAAGCTCCAATCGTCGTGTCAGGGGCCCGTTGCTGCATTTTCTTTTCTTTAAGACTGGTCAGCTTCTTATAGGCAGTTACACAAAACTGTAACGTGGTGTAATTTGAATGTGAAAAGTAAGACGGATTAGCCTTTCTTAAGACAGTCTTAACGCGGTGACTGTTTATGAGTTACAAAACAGTGATTCGGCTGTAAGTTACAGTTGAAATACTGCTTTAGCATATAAATAATGTAGAATCTTAATGTCGAAACAGTTTATCAGTCTGTCAGTCACCTTTATTTATATAGTGCTTTATATGATAGTTTTACAGTAAAATAACGATTCAGTGATGCAAACAGAGTTCAATTCTGCTGCAAGCGCAGCTCTCAAAAGACGATATGTCATCGAATACCATATCAGAGAAAAATCCTTTAGAGAATAATATTAGTTGAGAGAAGAACAAAACCCTGAAATATCAGAGCAATAAAGCCTGTTATATCTGCCCTCTTATGTCAGATTCTTACATTTAATCAGAATAAAAGACACACATTGGTAATAAGTATGCTATTATTAATCAAATTATATCAGTATCAACAAAATCCACCCAAAATACCCAAAAGGTGTGGATGACTTTCTTTCAGCCGAACACAATCGGAGTTATATTTAAAAATATCCTTCCGAGCAGCTTTATAATGGGAGTGAATGGTAGGTCTACATTTGAAGTCCAAAAAAAAAGCACATCCATCCATCACAAAAGTAATCCATATGGTTCCAGGGGTGTAATAAAGGCCTTCTGAAGGGAAGTGATGCCATTTTGTAAGAAAAATGTCCATATTTATAACTTTATAAACTATAATCACTGAACTAAATATTTAATGGAGCTGATATTTAAATAGCCTATACTTATAGGATTTTAGATAACATTTTATTATAACATATATTGAATGTTTCAGAATAGTTAAGTGTATTTTAGCAGTATCATGCTATACCACAGTAGTAAAGTAGCCTATATGGTAGTATAGGACTATTATAGAAAACATTTCCAACGCAATAGAATAATGTTCTATATTATTTGCCCTATATTTTTTCAGTGCAATAGGTTGCACAAAAGTATCAATATCAGAAGTACATGCAACAATGACTTAGCCAGCTTATGATGCTCCTAAAATAAGTCAAAAGGCACTCACACGGAATACAACAGTTCCATAATACATTAAATACACACAATTATGTATGAAATATGAAGTCTTAAAGTATATTACTTTCATAAAGCTTTAAATGCACTTCTCACAAGTGAGGAACAAGAAGGCACAGTGGAATATTTAATCGAAATGGCACATTATCTGAGGAAATAAAATAATATGCATATTCCAGACCAGAGCTTAAAAAAATTAACTTAACACCATTATTAATCATGTTTTTTTTTTTTTTTTTTACATTTGTTTAAAATACATGTACAGAGCAGCTTAATCAGTATTACCAAATAAAATATTGATCCTGATATAATGAAAAATCATGTAGGCCTATCGCAGCATTACAAAGTTTATTTGTATTCATGTTCAATATAAGCAATATGTTACCTACTTAATATCAATTTAAAATCATCTGCTCTTCAAAATGGACATTAAATAAGTAGTCACACATGTAATACATAAATGTAAATCAAGGCTAAAGGTTACAGCTTTAAAGATGAACAGCACAGCTATGGGGAAAAGCTGTAGCAACACTTGCTTTGTTTTTAAAGGCACATAAACCTCTGCATAATGCTACAAGACACGGCATATCTGCATGTTTGAGGAGAACAATGAGATTTAATGCTTCTTGTGACTTGTTCATTTAGCTGTTCTTTCCTTTCTTAGAAATACAAGGTCCAGCTGTGAGGAAATACAACCAGTCAAATATTCACAAAGCCAAGAGATGAAATAACATTTGAACTGACACATGAAAGGAATGCCTTCACATGTTGAAGTATTTAAAGATCATATTACAATATTTATAAAGCAAATAAAGAGGTAAACAGAGTCCAGCATGGTTTTTTTTAGTCCTTAAAGTTTTAAAGAGCATAAATAGCTAAACAAGCAAGCACATTTAAAGCACTGTTAGACCACACAATATTTTTGTCATTAAACTGACAAGAAGTCAACCTTTTTAACATTATTTGATCACTATAAATATTACATTTGGAATCATGAATATATATATATTCTGAGGTGCTTTTCTGACTGCTTGTCTGAGTCGGCACACAAAAAAATAAGTTCAGGACATTTAAGTACTTACTAAAAACATTTCAACTGCACAGTTATATTTCTGTATTATTTACTAGTGAGTTTAATACGATCATTTATCGAGTAAACACTTATGTTTAGTCATACTGATTTACTGAAATGTGCTTTGTCTATTAACCATAACAAGCTGCTGTAGTATGTCGATATGTGTTATAATATAGTCCTCCAGCTCTATATTAAGCACTGAGATGGCATTCTTCTCCCTCAACCTCACTCTTAAATATAAAGGTTCCAAAGGGGGGTTTGTAGCGATGCAATAGAAGAACGAACCATTTTGTTTTCTCAAAGAATCTTTCAGTGATCAGTTCTTAAAATAACAATTTTTTTTCCTAACGTGAAGAACATTTTAAAAACCTAAAGAACCTTTAGTGCAATGGAAAGATTTCTGGATGTTAGGGTGTGTTCACACTTGCAGTTCAGTTCTCTTGGTTCGTTTGGTCCGGACAAAAAAAACAACAACATAAAAACCATTTAGTCCTGTGGTCCTCTTAGCATTCACATTGGCATTTTAACACCAAACCTAAACATACCCCACCATAGGCATACGTTCAAAACCTGATTGGTCGGCTTTTATTGCATTTATTTGGCGAAGGAACTTACTGAATATCCAAACCAAATGTGTGTTAGGCTAAATGCACTCATTGTATGTGTGTAGCTTACATATGATGGTATTTTGACCAGCTGAGAACTCATATAAAATGAGTAAAGGAGTCAGAACATGACCAAACATGGCAAGTGTGAACACACCTTTGAAGGTTCTTAAATGGAACCTTAGATGCCAATAAAGAACCTTTATTTTTAAGAGTGTACACACAAATCAGCAGGAATTACACCTGCAACCAAAATTATCATAATGTATTTAATTTACATAATTTATTCACCCTCATGTCATTCTAACCCAGTATTATGTCTTTTGCCATGAAAAGATGGATGGTGAAGCTCCAAAAGTTTGATAAGTAGTCCTTGGAGGATTTTTTTTTAATTGAAGGGAATATTATTAGATGGTTTAGAGTTTGGTCTCTTTATCACACAAATCATATGGCTTCAAAAGACTTACATAAAGCATAAGTCATACAGACTACTTGATATGACTAATGATATTTTATTTAACATTGCTTTTTGGAGCTTATCAAGTTAGCACAAATCACCATCCCCCTTCAAATTATGGATAAGAGAAGCTTGGACATTCTACCCAACTTCTCCTTACGGAGTTATGGAAGAAAGTAAGGCATAATACATGCAATAACATGAGGGCGATCACTTTGGTGTGAATTAAGAACCCTAAAAATCAAGCACAATGAAAAACGACAGATCACCAGAACTAAAGTCATCAGCCTCAGCGAGTTATATTCAAAAACAAAAGGGCTGAATCTCATTTAAAGTTGGATACTGGAATGGGGACTGCATCAAACTTCAATGTGGGAACATTAAAGTGAAGTTAATGTCGGGCTGTACATAGACTGCAGAGGAGATGGACCTGCATGGTTAAAAATCCAGTTCTTCATCGTCCATGTGAAAATGGCTTGAGGGACCGAGGAGCGGCTGGCTGGAGCAGCAGGTACTCTGAGTGTTCAGACTTTCAGTCGAGCCAGACAATCCTACACAAACGACAGACACTGCAGTTAAAAACAAAACAAAAAGTACTCTATACCAGTGGTTCCCAACCCTGATCCTGGAGTACTAAACACCAACACTGCACATTGTGGATGTCTCTCTTATCTGACACACCCATCTGAGGTCTTGGGAGTCTTTACTAATGAGCTGTTGGTTTGAATCGGGTGTGTTTGACGTGTAAACGTACCTTTAGATGTCTCTCTAATCAAACTAAATACGGATCCGCGGAAACGACTAAAAACGTTGTATTATGCTGCCGGGCCAGAAGTTGTCGATGTCACTTTGTAAAGAAACAATACGCGCCTATATACTGAACACGTAACACGCATGCGCTTAAAGCTACAATATGTCATTTTTTTCGGCGCTAGGGGTCGCTAACCTCTTACAATAACAAAGGCGTAGGTTGATGACGCAAAGCATTAAGCGGAATTATGGATCTTGTCGTCAAGCTGATGGATCTTTTATGGATGAGTGAATACATTGATGTTTTCATCATGACTGTGGTGTGAAGCAGGTAGGGCTGTCACTTTTGTGGAAAAATCCTGATCGATTTTTGAGACATAAGTGTTCATTGAATCGATTGTAAAATCGATTTTCCATGTCTAAAGACGTTTCCATTTTCAACACCAAATACAGGCAAATCCACGCACACCTAACAGGCATTAGGACGAACGTAAAGAGGGCGCTTGAGACGCGCACGTCGCAATATTTCTGATGATTTATTGGCATGAAGTTTCGTGCACAATGACAAACAGGAGCGCAACATTCAGGTATTGAGATTAACACCCGCCAAATGCGGGTAAAAATGAACTTTGGCGGGAAACGCTGTCAAATCACGAACCAATCTGGCGTGTTTCTGTGTTTACTCACTTTGGTGGGGAAGTTCGTGTAAGACAAATCTGCGCGGATTTAGCGCAAATACGCAACTCGTGAGTCCTCATGATACACGGTATTAAATACAGCATATCGCACAGAATCTACTCATTTCTGGCTTACTTGAACACACACACACGTCACTAAGCAACAAATAACAGCACGCTTGTTCACTTGCATTGAAGTAATAGCGAATTTGGTTAACAGAAAATACATTATTTTCCAACATCCTACATATTCTGATACTGTATTGATCTGTCCGCCTAAAACACATTTTTGGTAAAAAAATGTTTTTAAAAGGCCGTTAAAATCGATTCCCTATTTTCGTTTTCGAAACTTGTGTTGGTTGGTCCGATCGATTGTGCAATCGATTTTCGAACGTAAAGTGACAGCCCTGGAAGCAGGGCGCGATTGCTAATGAGAGACAGACAGTGCCGCTGCTAGCCATTTTGATGCCCTAAGCATAATTCCTTTATTTTTCTGAACTACAGATGTGCATTTTAAGATGTTGTGAAGGCAAAAAAAAAAAAAAAAAATTCGATAACAACAGCTTTAAAACCATGTCAGTGGGCAGCTGATTATTTTTCTCTCCTCATCAGCATCACACTCTTTTTCTCTTTGTTCTTATCTTGCCCTGTCTCTTCCCCTCCTAAAGTTGGCTTTTTTAATTTACTAAAGGTTACAATTTGTATTTTATTCTCAATATGTACACATTCATTTTAAATCCTGTGCCTAACATGATGAAAACGGCTTTGTTCATGTTTCTTGTCCCCTCACAATGACAGTAGCCTAAACTATTACACTAGGCTACATGTTACATAGGCCTATTTTCAGTTCAAAATGGCGAAATTAGACAAAACTATATTAGTTTGGCTAATTATTTTTTGTCATTCGTTTAACATTTATGACCTAAAAAAACTGTCAAATAAAGTTAAGTTTAGCTACTTACATCTTATCTCGCACTTGACCGTACACTGAAGCGTTGAGTTGCACTGTTAAAATTCGCGCTCAGCGTCTGTGAACATAAAGCCCGCCTACTTTTTGATTGGTCATCTCAAATATTCTGACATTGACGAGCAGTGACAGACCAATGAGGCTCAGATGAACACACACATGAACACACACACACACACACCCTGTCCTGTGTTTCTGACGTGCTCTCTGTCTCTGCTCGGCGCCGCTGCGGAATGAAGAGGAAGAACGCGCTGAATCTGATTATAACAAGAAGTTTGATGATTGGTTTTTCATTAGGCTATTTTTGGTGCCCCCTCAGCACTTGGTGCCCTACGCACAGCGCGTGATGCGCGTGGTGGGAGCGGCGGCGCTGGAGACAGATATCAGCGCCACACGCAAGTCCCGCGGATATAAAGGAATAAGTGCAGAATTACTCACACAGGTCAGTTTATTAGACGAATGAAACTTGTGAGGTAACGCAGCGCTGTTTCACTTGCTCTAACATTACACTGTCACACTAAACTGCATAAGAGTGTGTTGAATGTTATTCTGTGTTAGTTTGTCGGCTGTATGAGACTAGCAGTAAGCAAGATCAACATTAGAATAACATACAGATTATATTCTAACATTTCATCAAGTTGAACTAAATAACATTGATTCGTTTTATGTACATTTGCTCACCTGTCTAATAAAGTACATGCAACACTCTTGACAGAGACGCCACTCTGTCAAGTCGAAGTTAGTCGCGGACGTGGAGCTCTCGGCATCTCGAAAGATGTTGATCTTCGTTTTAGTCCTCTTTTTGTCTCAATGTCTGCTTACCATGGTCCAAAATGTTTGAACAAAACAACAACAACGTGAGCGTACCGCTAGGCGTAACCCAGCTGTCCACGTCTGTCGCCATGGTAACTATGACGGTACGAGCGGAAACCGGGGGTAACGCGGATATGACGCCATTGACTGGCGACTCCCTCACACCTGCTCAAACGTCCCGTTTCCTTGGTTAAAATCGCAATTTTCTCACGATTTACAAATAGTTGGAAACATTTGGGATATTGTAAGTAATCAACTAAACTAAATATATAACACTAGCCTAGTAGTTTTTGGATATTTTACTGCAAAATTATTACATAGTGCACCTTTAAGGTCAACGGTTTCACAAATGCGCGTTTTTGCAGTTTACACGGACACGATAACGGTATCGTTTTCAAAATCTTGCACTTTTTCAGGCCCCCAAAACGCCACTGTCGTGTAAATGAACGGCCAAAACACACAAGTTTCCGTTTTTAGTTGAGATGGTGTCGTGTAAAACAGACCCTAAAAACTGCTGTGCTGGTGTACCCCGGGACCAGGGTTGGGAACCACTGTTCTTCACTAATATCTAAACATAAAATAACATTTAACATGCCAAAGTTTAATAAAAATGTACATTGTAATGAGCAACAATCTGATGATCAGCTAAACTAGTAAAACTGAGAAACTTTTTGTGCAGCATAGAACAAGAACATGAAGGAACGGCTGAGAGAAGAACACAGAAGCCTACATACCAGTTACTCTTCCATACCAATAGAGCAGGAATCAGGACCTAGAGCTGCCCAGAGCAAGACCACGAGAGCAGACAGGAAGGCAGGGGAAGGAAGTCGAGGAATAAACGGCACACAGGTTAGATAAGCTGATCGACTGAGAGCCAGAAATAGAGCGTTTGTCGACTCGCAAAAGAGTAAGAACGAACAGTGTTGTTCGATGAGTGCACGGCTGCACGCACACTCGAGGCTATAGCGTTTCTGAGAACCACACACTCAAAGCATGCAGAGTGGGCTCTTGTGTCCAGATGCACTCACCAGGGAGGGACAGGTCTCCAGGTGGGTCACTATCAGTTTTGGTAAAGCTGCTGTGCTCGCTGCTACAGTCATTCATGGCCTCTTCCTCCAAATTCAGTCCATCCTCTGCATAGATTCACAAATAACAGAAACAAAAGCTGTAATTGCACAAAAGCTTCTTCCATTGTTAGTAAAAATGTCTGTCTATGATATTAATGAATACAGCAGGGAACTACACTGCGACCAAAATGGTCGCATATGCGACCTTTTGAAATGCCATTGCGACCCTAATTTTTAATGGGTCGCAAATGTATCACCGTTTGATTATTTTTGTACCTACCTAATGTTTTAGGCAATATGCTATGATTTACTATGAGCATTTATTAAAACAGAAATGTGTATTTTAAGAATACGTTTTATAACGCGCTCTGAGCATTCAACACATCAAGTTGGCTTCGCGGATTCGCGCTTGTTTAACTGAGAGAACGAGCAGAGAGAGTGAAAGCCCCAGTCGCGCGCGCGCTCTCTCTCCCTCCCTCGCTCATAATAATGAATTGAGTTGACTGAATATCTTTGAGAATACACGATGGTAAAAGGTCGGAAGACCGAAGTTTTTTTTTTTCTGAACTACCACTGGTTGTGAATTGTGCTAAAATAACGTTGCCTCATCTTCTCTGAAAAGCTTTCCACACATTCAGATGGCATAAACCACTCTTTCAATAAACAAAACAAAAAATCTATCTATCTGGTGATGAAATGTTTTCTGTGTTGAGACAAATCTTGTGCGATGTCCTAAACTGCCTGGATAATCACACAACGTGTGCCGTGGTCCTTTAATGACACGTCCGATTCGCGAACTGACTCCTTTGAACCGATTCACTTTAATTAATGGTTAAAATAACAACTGATCTGTCCAACACTGAACTCAAGAGTCATTCAAGAATGATTCATTCTTTCCAAGTAGAGCTATTCAAGTCATCTGGTGAAATTGTTTTTATATCGCAATATATATCGCAGAAAAATCAAATATCGCAATGTCATTTTTTTACCAATATCGTGCAGCCCTACTGTAAATTCTGTGGGCCTTCAATTGCAGGACTGTCCAAATTTGTAACTGCGTCAAAACAATTCAAACACGAATCATTGAAGCTTCACAATGACATATTATATTTATTTTACTTTTCCTTAAGAGTTCAGAAGTCTGCCCATCTGTGCCAACCATAGCATGGTGAAATCCAAAAGAAATTAATTTAGCACTTTATTGTGTAGGCTACTGTATTTTCTATTGCAGTAAATCTATCCCAACCATTTTTAAAGAAAACAAGAAGGCATGTGTTTTAAAAGATGGAGAGTAAAATAAAAAGCACATCTGTATCCAATACAGTTTCACTATTGGTCATTATTATCCAGAGCGGCTTACTATATAAATAATTTGTGTGACCAAATCATGTTTTGCGCTAGTAACTGAAAAAGTTAGTAGCGCAAGTGCCACCAGTGGAAAATGTTAGTGTAGTTCCCTACATGTTCGCCCACTTGTTTTCAAAATATTTGTAATATATATGCAGCCCTTCAAAAATTTGGGGTCAGTAAGATTTTTTCCTAAAGAAATTTTTGTGGAAAAACACAATAAATTAATAAAAATGTCTTTACTGTCACTTTTTAAATCAGAGGTCGACCGATTGATCCCTGGAACAATCCGTTATCTGCAAAAATCCATACCGATAGTTTATCCGGGATGCGTCCATTAGAGTCTGCTGACATTATGCAGTATGAGAGCGGCCTCTAGAGGCGAAATGAAAACTATCACTGACGTCTCGTGGTGTTTGTTTTGACATGCTGCACTGAGAGGGACACTTCAGAAATGGATTTAAGAGTTTTAAACCGACAAAGAAATGGTAAGTATACAGTACATGTTATTATAAAGAAATTCATTTGTTGACTAGATGCTGCATTAGTAAAGAACTGCAGCATGTTTTCAGTCAAGGCTGAGAGGACGCTAACATTAGTAGTACCTCATGTGGTTAAAACAATGTGTTCTTTTATTTTGTTATTTTGATTAGATAATCATCAAATATGCTAAAATGCAAGCCAATAAAGTGGGAGAGTATACACTCACCGGCCACTTTATTAGGTACCCCATGCTAGTAACGGGTTGGACCCCCTTTTGCCTTCAGAACTGCCTCAATTCTTCGTGGCATAGATTCAACAAGGTGCTGGAAGCATTCCTCAGGGAGTTTGGTCCATATTGACATGATGGCATCACACAGTTGCCGCAGATTTGTCGGCTGCACATCCATGATGCGAATCTCCCGTTCCACCACATCCCAAAGTTGCTCTATTGGGTTGAGATCTGGTGACTGTGGAGGCCATTTTAGTACAGTGAACTCATTGTCATGTTCAAGAAACCAATTTGAAATGATTAGAGCTTTGTGACATGGTGGAAGTAGCCATCAGAGGATGGGTACATGGTGGCCATAAAGGGATGGACATGGTCAGAAACAATGCTCAGGTAGGCCGTGGCATTTAAACGATGCCCAATTGGCACTAAGGGGCCTAAAGTGTGCCAGGAAAACATCCCCCACACCATTACACCACCACCACCAGCCTGCACAGTGGTAACAAGGCATGATGGTTCCATGTTCTCATTCTGTTTACGCCAAATTCTGACTCTAACATCTGAATGTCTCAACAGAAATCGAGACTCATCAGACCAGGCAACATTTTTCCAGTCTTCAACTGTTCAATTTTGGTGAGCTCTTGCAAATTGTAGCCTCTTTTTCCTATTTGTAGTGGAGATGAGTGGTACCCGGTGGAGTCTTCTGCTGTTGTAGCCCATCCGCCTCAAGGTTGTGCGTGTTGTGGCTTCACAAATGCTTTGCTGCATACCTCGGTTGTAACGAGTGGTTATTTCAGTCACTGTTGCCCTTCTATCATCTCCTCTGACCTCTGGCATCAACAAGGCATTTCCGCCCACAGAACTGCCGCTCACTGGATGTTTTTTCTTTTTCGGACCATTCTCTGTAAACCCTAGAGATGGTTGTGCGTGAAAATCCCAGTAGATTAGCAGTTTCTGAAATACTCAGACCAGCCCTTCTGGCACCAACAATCATGCCACGTTCAAAGTCACTCAAATCAACTTTCTTCCCCATACTGATGCTCGGTTTGAACTGCAGGAGATTGTCTTGACCATGTCTACATGCCTAAATGCACTGAGTTGCCGCCATGTGATTGGCTGCTTAGAAATTAAGTGTTAACGAGCAGTTGGACAGGTGTACCTAATAAAGTGGCCGGTGAGTGTACAATATACATATGTATGGCCTTTGTGTAGATATTTAAAGATGGCCATCTGTAAGCATGACTGTTTGGATTTACATGAAATGGTAACATTAACTAAGGTTAATAAAAGTAGTGTTTTGTTGTTAACGGTATATTTGGTAATTTGTTAACTTCAACATTTACTAATACACTTTTTACATTTTAAAGTTGTATCTCTTAAAATTAGTTAATGGACTATGAACTAACATGAATGATTAAGGTATAATTAATATATTAATATTTATTTTAAAAAGTACAGGTCATTTTCATGGTTCAGTACTGTTTTTTTTTATTAAAAGTTCAGCACCAAAAAGTACAGGTCATTTTCATGGTTCAGTACTGTTTTTTTTTATTAAAAGTTCAGCACCATTTTGTGTGTTATGTTTGTTTTCATTCAGTATCCATTTTAAAAGCTATCGGTTGATTAATCTGTTATCGGCCAGCGTGGGCCAACCTAGTTATTTGTAATATCTGTCGACCTCTAATTTTTAGGTTATAAAAAATTTCTATTTTTATCAAAGATTTCTATTTTAAAAAATTGCTGTTTTTTTATTTCAATTCTTCAAATAGTCCTGAAAAATGTATTATGGTTTACACAAAAATAGTTAGCAGCAAAACAGTTTTGATAATTTGAATGATAATAAGAAATGTTCCTTGAGCAGAAAATCATCATATTAGAGTGATTTCTGAAGAATCATGCGACACTGAAGACTGGAGAAATGCTGCAAATTCTGCTTTGCATCACAGAAATAAATTACATTTTAAAATATATTAAAATAGAAAAGAGCTATTTTAAATTGTAATAATATTTTACAATTTTACTGTATTTTTAATCAAATAAATGCACCTTTTGTGATCATAACTCAATTTTTTATTTATTTTTTACTGACCCAAACCTTTGGACAGTAGTGTAAGTGTATTTGGTATTGTTCCACTGACAGATTATACTTGTTTTAACCATAACCTTAAATCAAAACTAACCCTATTAAAACTAACTAAAATGTAAGTCTTGGTAATCTTGCAAAAGTACAATAAAACAGCAAAATGTAATAACTTGCTCTTCCTCTGACACTATCCTGCCTTTCTTTTTCAGCTCATTTCGGTTTCAATTACATGACTTTAAACTGCTGTGATGTTGAGGGGGACTGAATCTTTTTTTATTGCTTCAAAATATGTATGAACATGCCCCTATCATGAGTCCCAACAGGTTCAATACTTTCAACTAGTGCTGTCAATATATTTAAATCTATAAAATGTTTTATTATATGTTATTAATCTCTCAAATTAATTCCAATTAATCACATTTTCATCAATATTTACTGAGAGAAAAAAAACACATTATTGTGATAAAAAGCCCTACATAATATGATAGGCATGAGGCAATTAAGCATTTGTATGATTTCCAATCAGACAGTGATAAGAGTGGAGTTACTCACCATCTTCAGGAGACAGTGAATCGGGGGCGTCCTCGCCAACCGTACCCTGAGAAAACAAAGACATCAGAATCTCATACCCATCATCATGCAGGCCGCATAGATGATGTCATACGGGGTGTGCTGCTGACCTCAGTGGGCGCGGGACTGCTGGACAGCAGCATGTGAGCTTGAGCATCAGACATCTCAGACAGTTTTTCTTCATCCTCCTCCTGAATCGGGGATGATGGGGAGCGTAGAGTGCTGCAAACACACAAACTGTCAAAACTATTGATGTGCACAGGTAACACGCCAACTACTATATACAAATAATATTCGCGTTTTGTACCTTAGCGTAGGGAACCATGAAACATCTTTCCCATTTCTCACCTAAACACATTACTGAATGCACTGGGTGGCACTGTGGATACGTGAATTAAGCATTTGGTTCTGGAACTTCAAGTGAAGTGTCAAGTGTCACGCATCCCACAGGATGAGGATCTGCTTTTATGGTGGAAATTAGCAGCTCATGTTCTCAAAAAATGTGGACACTTACCAGAGCGGTGTCTGTGTCTCTGTAATCTTTGTGCCATCAGAGCACACTGTCTCCACTGCAGACTATATAAATAGGTATATATATAGATCCACCGATAGCAAACCATCGAGCCATAACCATCCAGAAAAGACTATTACAATTTCCGTTTCATGCCAACTTTAAAGGTCCCCTGACATGAAATTTTCACTTTCTGTTTTTTTTAACATTAATATGAGTTCCCCTAGCCTGTATTTGGTCCCCTCGTGTCTCGAAATTTCAGTCGGTGTAAACCGAGTTTTGGCTATTTTTCTCTGCCTGTGAGAAAATTAGATCTCAGACGGGCTGATCTTGAATCTCCCCTATATGACGTCATATAGGGGAAAGGTTACCTCCCCCTTCTCTGCTTTGCCCGCCCAGAGAATTTGGCTCGCCCATGAGAAAACGTGCTAGGAACAGGACGTACGAACGCGCCGGCGCGATTTTAGTTTTTCCTAGAGAAATAGCTTTGAGATTTGAGTTTTTCCTCGAGAGATATCATGGCTTGCAAACGAGCGAAGCATGGCAGTTGATCAGTGTTCGGATGTACAAATGAACACAAAAGTATTTTTTAGTTCCTTCATCCGAGCCTCTGAAGAAACAATGGGTTAATTTTATTTTCTCTGGAAATGCGCTGACAAGTTGTGTATGGTCCAAACATTTCACCGACGACTGTTTCCTCAACTCGATGAACGTCTGAAAATAAATCATCGAGCTACCAAGCAACAATTTCTGATGTGTAGCCTAATTGTTCAAGTTCAGACAGGTAAGTTAATCTTTTTCTCAAAATCATTCAATACTGTTTATGCATCAGTAAGTCAAGCCAGTGACTAAAATATCAACTTCACATCGTTTCTTTTAGTAGGATGAAAATAATCTTATTTAAATTCTGAACAAATTATACAGAAAGCGATCAAAGAACAATCTTTCCACACAGCGCAAGTTTATCTGGACAACTCGTTATGAAATCAATGACGCACGTTACACTGCACAACGAAGCTCTTACTGTACATCATCGTGTTTGCATTGGTGAAAGCATTAGAGAGAGTGCAGAAACTGCGTTGCAATGATAAGATCTTCATTCTCGCGATCAACAGACTGTCCTCTGCTCAATGCTCATCACGGCAACATTTTATGTGATGGGAATAGATCTAAATACTTAAAAAACTTCTCACGATTCGTTAATCTCGATAGCTGTAATAGTAAAAACGTATAATGGCTGCAGTAAAAGTATTCGAGAGAGTTTCACATGTAATGCGTTGCTATTTCATATGCAAGCATGTCAGCCAATCACAGCAGTGGCCGCGGTTACACTGAATCCCACAGCAGACACGCCCCTTCAAACAGAGTGTTCAAATCAGAGGCTAAAATCAGGCTAGGAAAAATGCCTTTTATTTCTAAATTATGACTATTTTTTATCTAAAAACATACTAACATTATAAGGGCAACCCAGGAAACATTATAAAATAATAAAATAACCCCATGTCAGGGGACCATTAATATAGTGTTGTAAATAGTGCATATTTAGTGGTAATATAGTGATTTTTCTGTCTATCAATATCAGCTCTCTCTGTTTAAATGAGAGCTGTCAGTTCATATTGCCCCACTAAGTTTATTTTTCACATTAATTCTCACAGTAAGTAAGAAATTTACTAGTTAAAACATTTGATATCAATATTTGCATGATCACATGTTGTGAATCGCAAACCAAAGAATGCCAGGAAGGGAAAAAAACAAACAAATGCTGTTGTCAAGTAATCAAGCTTCTCAGTGTTATTTGTGTTAGAGGTCTCAACAAAATGACCTGAAAGCTGGAATGAGTCAACACATGCATGCTTCCTGAGATACTACGAATATTTTCCAAACCGCATTCACAGCTATGTCAACAGGGTGTATTAGAAAAGGGCAAATGGAGTCATTATTATGATGTATGGAAAAGAAAAGCTCATGACCCCTCGCTGGGGACACATAGGCCAAAACAGGAAGTTCCAATGTTAACTGGCCATTAGCCAGCCATTATTACACTGCCAGGAGTGGCAGTGATTTCTTATAAGCAGCATACCTTTAAAATGTCTCACTTGAGATGAGCCAAAAGCATTATTTTATTTTCATTAAATAGATTGACAAGTGCGGTTTTCCTTCCTGTGTTAATGCATTTCCTGTTTCTGAATAAAACAGGAAGTTTGGACATATAGACGGACTCAACAGCGAAGGGATATTCTCTTTCTAAAGAACATCTGATTAGGCTAAAATCTTTGAAAATGCGAATTTGTAAGTGTAGTGAAACTTGACTTGGATGTTCACATGACAATGTGTTGTTAAATATACACTGCTATTCAAAAGTTTTTTTTTTTTAAACAAATACCTTTATTCCGCAAGGGCACATTAAATTGATCAAGGCTTTTGCATTCATTTTTAGATTTAAATTGTAACAAGGAAATGTTTCATGAACAGCAAATCATATTTGAATGATTTATGAAGGATCATGTGACACTGAAGACTAGAGTAATGGAATAATTGATCACAGGAATAAATTACATTTTAACATATATTAAAATAGAAAACAGTTATTTTAATTTGCAATAACATTTCACAATGTTACAGTTTTTACTGTATTTTTGAACAAATGCCGCCTTGGTGAATCTTTTGAACTCTAGTGTACATATATCCACACAAAGAGAAATAAATAGTATTTTAAGTTATAGTCTAGCATGTTGTTAGATTTGCATCCAAAAACAAAGCCTGATTTAAGCCATAGATGCAGCGGGTCGGATTTACCTGTCTGGTGACTTGCTGACTTTGCTCTTCTGTCCGCCACTATCTCCAGAGTGGTCAGGTGAACTGAGCTGCCGGCTCTCTCCACTCAGGCTCCCAGAGAAGTTGATCTCGTCATACAGAGGCGCAGAAGGAATGCCGGGGGACCCGCCACCAAGACCATTCAAAGCCTCCAGCAGGGAGATGGGCTCATAGCCAGGGGGAACGGAGTCTGAGCTCTGAGAGACGGGACAAAACAATGAGAATGAGAAAGTTACACCATGTTGTCTTGTAAAGAGACAATACAGATATATATGTGACATACGGAGTGCTCATCGTGGTCCATGCTCTGCGCCAGCACTGGGCTGAAGGAAACAGGAGAGAGCGCTCCAGGCTTCTTTCTTACAGCTCGGATCTGAAGAAGAGCTCGAAACGCTGGAGAAAGACAAAAAGCTACTTCAGAGTCTCAAAATATATGAACATTTACATCTATGCAGGCTTTCTGGGCTGTTACTCAAATGAAACACAACCGCACGGTAGGAAATTATTTGTTGGTTTAACTTAAAGTAACCTGGCTGCCTTACATTTTTTATTACATTCAATGAAAAAAATGTTTTAGTTAATACAAAGAAAGATTTTGTTCTCTCTCCCTCGTTCTTTGAATTGAAAGGGGAAATAAACCCTCTATTTGCCAAATAAACGTGAAATTCTTAGTCCAGGTAACACGGAGAACAAGTAAACATTAAGCATTTATATCCTACCTATATTGTACCAATACAAAGTGGGTTGAAAATCGGCCAAGTTACAATTTAACTCAAATTTTTAGTTTCAATGAAGCACCCAGGTAACTACTTTAAGTTAAACCAACAAATGGATTTTTACAGTGTGTGGGACTGTTAACAACAGTTACATACGTAGTCGGCAGATCGGGCAATTGTTGGCCTGGTAGCGTAGAGTATCAGCGCAGGAGTTACACAGACACAAGTGCCTGCAGGGCAGAATCAGAGTGTCCCGCAAATCTGACAGACACACCACACACTCATTGCTGTTGTCACTGTTTTCATCATCAGATGGCTGGGGAGAAAATCATAATGACATTTTTCAATAATAATAATAATACAGACATATAAATGTATAGAAAATGTAATGAACAGCAACAATCATCTTTTCACCTTTGTCTCTTGATTGTTCTTGTTCTCAATTCCATAAATCTCCTGTAACAAGTAACTAACGCGATCCACCTGTAGTGTAAAGGTAAGTATTTAGAAAAAAAAAACATTATAAACATTACTATCTATATTTTGTACTTAATGTTAAAAACAGGACAAAGTGTACATCTTTAGGACTCACTATTTGTTTCTGCTTCAAAGGTTTCACTGAGAAACTGCCATCAACATGCTGTAAATTTAAAAAAAAAACGTCAGAAATACACAACTACTACAAACAACCTCTTCAGAAATTATGAATAATATGACATCAAATTCAGCTCACTCTTTCGAATGCTGCCAGCAGTACATGTGCATGTCCCAAACAATCTGAAACAGACAATTACCATTAAAAATGCACATTCATGACAGCACTAAACAGACACACTGGTTGGTTGTTGTTGTTTTTTTTTTTAATATTTGGGGAACACCAAGCTCCATAAGCACAACAATATATAGAGTAGAGCAATTAAATCACATATCTTCCATGTTCAACTTTTTTGGTCTCAACCAGTCACAAGTATCAGCAGTGTAGTGTCAAACAGATTTTGATATTAAGAGCAAATCCTTGAATCTTTTACACTCTTCAACTATAAAGAAGTCATGACAACATACCATCTCCTTCATCAACCACAGCCTGAATCACCATGGGGAAAACACCTCTGTCCAAATCAAAGTTGAGCTAAAAAAAAAAGGAAGAGAAAAGTCAGGTCAAATACTTTACATTCAGGTCAGTCACTTTCATTTTATTGGATTTGCATGATCTTGTACTTCATTGCGTGTAAACTAATAATGCAAAGAGTTCAAATCAATATCTTAGAGGCCAGTATGGATTTGACCATCAGAGGACATTGATTGACAGCACTAAACTAGACTGATGGTACTTACATCTTCTTCCTTCCATTCAGATAAATCAATCTTGAAGGCTGGCAGGGTAAACTGCTGGCTAACCCCTCTTTTGTAATATACAGTTTCAGAGACCAACGCAGGGGTTTTGGGGCTGTATCTTAAGAACAAATATATACTGTTGTTAGTGCACAAATATACCAACAAAATACTTTTTTTCATATGACTCCATTTCAGAGAGTTCAAATTATAATAATTACATCATTTATAGCAGTTTTTCACATTTAAATGCATTTTCTCTGTAGCTCAATTGGCTCCAATGACTGATTGTTGACTGTAATTACTCAGCTTTTGTATATACATAGCTTTGAAAATTGAACTTTCAAAATAAAACAAAGACAAGTGCACAGAGGAATTACACTAAAGCCATTCAACAACCATTATTTAAAGGGTTAGTTCACCAAAAAATGAAAATTCTGTCATCATTTACTCTCCCTCCAAACCCATAAGACTTTCATTCATCTTCAGACTACAAATGAAGATATTTTTAATGAAAAATCTGAGAGATTTCTGTCCCTCCATTAAAAGTCTATTCACGCAAAACTCTTAACAGTTCAAAATCTTCATAAAAAGATCATATAAATCAAGCATGTAGAGTTAAGCTTCTGTTTACCATATTTGAGTGCTCTATGTGTGTTCTCTGATGATCTGTTTATATGTTAATAACAGCCTAAATTAAATCCGTTCATCATATAAAATGAATGTGTCTCTTCAGAAGACTTGGATTAAACCGCTCGATTTATTTTATGATCTCTTTATGGACGTTTTGAACCGTCACAGTTTAGGGTGAATAGTCTTTCAATGGAGGGACAGAAACCTCTAAAGTTTCATTAAAAATAACTTCATTTGTGTTTCGAAGATGAACTAAAGTCTTATGGGTTTAGAATGACATGAGGGTGAGGGATTAATGAACTCTCCATTTTACACACTAATACTTATAAATAATATGTACTTTAATATTGTATAATTACTTGAACATTGATAATAAACTGTAATGGCATTTTTTAAGAAACTATATCAATCAAAGAATAGTTGCGAATATACTGTTTATTTAATTAATACGAGAACACTGATTTATATGGATAATGGGAATTCACCCTCTCTATTTTCTAAATGCATGTTATAGATCTTATTGTAAACAATACATCCATGCATCTGTGTCTTTTTTAATAAAAGATTTTGACCTTGTAATGTTTAATCAAACATTAGTCTGTTGTTTCCGACTTCTCTCTGGTGACGTATGCAGGACTTCTCCAATCATTTAGTCCGATAAACTCTCGTTCATCTGCCTTCACTTTTGCAAGCAACAGCCAATCGGATATACAGTACGTCACAATACATAAGAAAAGATCTGTCACCACCTCTGTTTTATCGCGACTTTAAACATTTGTAACTGTACAACGGAAGTCCTTACATTGCCATCCCATTGGAAAACTCCTCAAAAGCCTGGCAGTAGATGGTGATGGCCACTCGTGCATCCGAGTCAAAGGTGAACTCCACTCCATATAAGGCCCTTGGTTTTACTCCTTCATCAGTAGGAGTATCAGTATCATCTTTATACCTATAATCACACAAATTTACATAAACAATCAAGCACGTAAATCAATAACAGAATAAGTCACTACATGCAGCACTAACTGAGATCATTTGTTGTCAGGTGATCAAAGATTTGGTCATTCATATTCCTGAATCAGTACCTGACCAATCGTAATGAGTCTTTTCTGATGTTGACAAGACTTCTCAAAGTCTTGACTGGCTCATGGGGTGCTGGAGTAACATAGGGAAACTGTGCCAGGTACCAAAACAATACAGAAAGAAATCATTAATATTGTATTAATATATTTATAAGATGCTACAGTTACAACAAAAGAGATCAGAAGCACTGCAAAATAAGACATTCAATATTCAGCTAACAGATGTTCTGATGGGTTGCTTTTCCTGTACCTGCACTGGACGGTTACCAAGAAAGTTGAGATCCATGTTCTCCCCGAAAAGGTAACCCTCTGGATGAGGGGTGTCAAACTTCTCTCCTCCCATGAAAAAGTGGCTGGCAAAATAGTTTCCTTAGGAAAGGAAAATAGTAATTAGCCAATCTGACACCTCTAACTAAACAGAATAACACCATAAATTAAGGCATCCTTTGTCATTTTGGAGAGCACTGATATGTCTCATATATCATTACGATTTTTGACCAAATAATTTAAAGGGTTTGTTGACAGTAATGATTTGGCTAACTTATCAGATGAATATATAAAAAATCCGCTTATTTGAGCTCAAGATATCAATCCATCGAAGATAAGTGCTTACAAAACATGAGCAGATAAACGCCACCTTGTATCAACCTTACCTGATTTTGGAGGATATCTGTAGGCAGAATTAGCCTGGATGTCGATGTCCTCAACACCAGCGATTCTTCGACTAAGAATTGAACCCATTTCTCCAACACAGCCCGATCAGAACAAATAGGCAGTTGTTAAGGTGTACACAACGGCTGATAAAGTCAGCTAACCAGCTAGCCGCGTAATAACAGCAACCGCTCCAAACCGACCGAAGTGTTTAAATTACCATGACACGAGTTTAATCGACATTTCTTTTCTTCTGAGTCGGATCAGATGTGTCTCGTACAGTCGTATTATGTGATGTTCAGTGCAGTCAGCTGGATCAGTCTTGACACTTGGCTAACTGACTAGCTAGCTAGCAAGACAGACAGCGCCTAGCTAGTTAGTTCGCCTGTCACGAACGGAGAGCCAATAAAACAAGATGTGAAAGGGTGCATCAACAAACAAAGGTAAATTCTGATAGGCAAGAAAAAAGACAGTTTGGTGTTTCCTCGAAATAATAGCAGCTTCTTCGTGAAAATACAACACAAGGAAATCCGAGTTCGTTGTTGCGAGGGTTGTAGCGTATCCCCACGTGATTGGCTGAACTCGTCGCGAGAAATGAATGCTCGTCCAATCACAAGCTTCGCTGACGACGAGAAGTCTGTTTTCATCTAGTCGAGAGAACACACGCTTTGTTTATCTCACACTGGCATAGAAGATCATATGTTTTTTGGCATCCGTAAAATAACTGCATATAATCTATTTATATATCTATAAAAATCTACAGATATTTCTATTATCTGAATTGTTCAGTGCTTGAAATATAATTCAATCTCACTTGTTATTATCTATTAATAAAAAAAAAAAACATTATTATCTTTTTTATGTTGTGGGCTCAGTATACTATAATTATACACTACCGGTCAAAAGTTGGGAAACATTAAGGTTTTTTAATGTTTTTGAAAAAAGTCTCTTAATCTTACCAATGCTGCATTTATTTGATAAAAATACAGTAAAACTGTAATACTGTGAAATGTTATTACAATTTAAAATAACAGTTTTCTATTTGAATATATTTTAAAATGTAATTTATTCCTGTGATAAAAGTTGAATTTTCAGCATCATTACTCCAGTCTTCAGTGTCACATGATCCTTTGGAAATCATTCTAAGATCATTTCTTATTATTATCAATGTTGAAAACATTTTTTTGTTTGTTTAAAAAAAAATCATGATAGACATTCCATTCAAAAGTTTGGGGTAAGTAAGTTACAAAAAAGAAAGCACGATAGAAAGAAATCAATACTTTTGTTTAGCTAAGGGACTTTAAATTGATAAAAAGACAGTAAAGACATTTATGAAATTAATAAATATTACAAAAAGTTATATTTATAATGAATGTATTATAATAATAAATGCATTTATAATAAATGTTCTTTTGAACTTCCTATCCTGAAAAAAAACACAGTTTCCACAAAAAATATAAGCAGCACAACTGTGTTTAATATTATTAATAATAAGAAATGTTTCTTTAGCAGTAAATCAGCATATTATAATTATTTCTGAAGGATCATGTGACATTGAAGACTGGAGTAATGAAGCTGAAAATTCAGCTTTGACATCACAAAAATACATTACATTTTAAAATATATTACAACAGAAACCAGCTAATTTTAATAATATTTCACAGTACTATACTGTATTTTTGATCAAATAAATGCAGTCTTGTGATTATTAGACTACTTTCAAAACCATTTTCTTTTTACAACTTAATGTTTCCAAACTTTTGACCGGTAGTATTATGAATAATTATTATGATGTTCGCTGACCCTAACTGGTTGTGATACAATTCACCAAAAAAATTACACTATGATAAATAAACAGCAAAACAGTATTATATTATAACAAAATAATGACTTTACAAAAACACATTACAAAATGAAAACATTTTTAACATGTTCTAATTGTATTTAATATTTTCATTTTCATACTCTATACAGTAATTAGAACTTTTTCAAATGCTAGTTTGTTTGTGCTTTTGGAAACTGAACTTACAATGCCAAAATAGGCTAATTATTTTTCATTTCAGGCTCATTTTGAAGGCAGAAATATGTCCTTTCTGCAAATGTAACTGCTGCATGTGTAATTGTTTAGTTGGGTTGTGTGGGGAATTACTTTGAACAAAGGACACACATATAAACTAAATGTATCTAACGTCTTGGTACAACACAGGATGAAAGTGACAAATCTTAATAACATGATAAGGGGGTGGAAGCTTAATGTAATGTGCGTTTGTAAGAATGTAATATAGATTTCATATCCAGTTATCAATTATATTGAGTCCATCGAGCTATCCTTTGCATACTTGCCTACAAATCCCAGAGTTCATCTCATCTTGCGCTCACTGCAGTGTCCGACAGGGGGCGCTAAGCGCGACGCTTCAACTCACAACATTTTCTGTTTCTAGCCGATAAGTTGATGTTCGAGTGCGGCGTTTTTGAAAGACTGCAAGCTGTAACTTTGAACGGGCGAAATAACACAGCTTTCTTAACTCAATATGGACGAACTAAGGCATCAAGTTATGATAAATCAGTTTGTTCTTACAGCCGGATGTGCGGCAGATCAAGCAAAGCAGCTTCTACAAGCTTCACATTGGCAGTTTGAGGTATGTTTGTTTGGTGGGGCAAATAACAGAAAACTTTATGTCATGTTGCACAGTAATATCTATACAAATCACTATAATTAACCCTTCATTTATTTAACGTAGTTTAAAACAATGCGAGACAAGCTCATTGCAACAGACAGCAATCTAGCCAACAAATGGGACAATCAAATACTTTATAAAGTATTTTTAACGGGATATGTCGTTGGCTTCAGCGAAATAAATATCTATACATTTAAATGTATGTTCAAAGCCCTACAATACACATTTGCTTGTTTTCTCACGTGATTATGAATGAATGATAACTGTTTTATGATGTTGCAGACTGCACTCAGTTCTTTTTTCCAAGAGGCTAATATTCCTTACAGCCATCAAATGGTGAGTATATATTTTTTTGTCGCTTTTGTTATTGTGTCTTGATAGTTTTTAATATCTGTTATGATGACTTCCGCCATGTTGAAACCACGAGTCAGACAAAAATAAACACAGGCTGGCATGTTTTCTCGCGAGGGCTGCATTTATGTCGTTTAAAACTCACAACTTTGTGTTTTATAAGCGCATATAGTCTCCCGTAGGTGTAAAATTAAATATGTAAATATTTAAGATGATAAAATAATCTGGACTCATGGGAGTTGCGATTTTGTAAACGTGTCCAAATTTGTGGGGGAGGGCGATTCCAGGAAACGGAGAGAGCACGCGCTTGACACTGCGCTGTTTACACCGTTACTATAACAATGAAAAGAACGGTACGTTAGGAACGCGCGGTGTTCAAACCATCACTGGCTTAAAAACACATTTTATTCATTTCTAGCAGGTATCTTTAAATTAAAGGAATTTGTTTGGAATTACTCAGAACAGAAGTAGACTGTAGTACTACCGGTCACATGCAAAGCGAATCAAAGTCAGTTAACCCTTGGTAAGCACCTAATTTGTCTCTTACTTTCAAGTGCGCTTAAAATGTTTGCCCTGTAAAATAGTTTACTCTAACATTAGATAAAATGAAATATTATTATGATGTACGGCCACATGAGATGAAGACTAATCAGAAAAGGCTGTATTATTCTACAGAGCGGGTCGCACCCTTATGGGCGCTGCCATGGTGACGTCACCAGTCTCATACAAGCAGTTGACGGCGTTTATAATTGCTAACAGCAAAAATAATAATGCATTTGCCTCACATACAGCTCTCAATGTGCTTTACAATGTGTACATGTGAAAGTACATCTAAACAAACAAACCAAAGGATATGACAACGAGAAAAAAAGATATGACAATTATTATTTCCTTTATTTTTCCAGGAAGGTCCCATTGAGATTAAAATAAATCTTTTCCTCCAGGGAGTCCTGGCCAAGATGGCCACACTACAAAATTACACACAAACACACAACACATAAAACATTCCAGAAAGTCAGAGCACAACATTCATCATAAATCAAGTAAAACAACAACATGATTCAATCATTGTATACTGTAGTAAATGTTTAAATGCATTCAAAGGAGGAATTGTTTCTAGAGGGACAGTAGCTTGAAATTCATTCCACAGCCATGGAGCATAGTAGGAGAAAGATGATTTACCATGCTCAGAATGTACCCTAGGTACTACTAATTTAATCCCATTAGATGATCTATTCTAGTGCTATAGTTCTTTCTACATAAACATAGAAGACTAGTAATGTAATTTGGAAGCATACCCATCAATGTCTTTACTATAAATACTAACATATGGGATTTCCTTCTTTGATATAAAGAGGGCCAACCCAAATAGTTGTACAACAGACAATGAGGAGAACATGTTGATAGAATATTCACATGTGTCTTGGGTCAGAAACCCAAAAAAGGCTTTAATTCTTTAAATTATCAGCTTCCACAAAATTATTAAGCAGCACAACTGTTTTCAACATTGATAATAATAATAATAAATGTTTCTTGAGCATCAGATCACCATATAAGAGTGATTTCTGAAGGATCATGTGACACTGAAGACTGGAGTAATGATGCTGAAAATTCAGCTTTGACATCACAAAAATGCATTACATTTTAAAATATATAACAATAGAAAATGGTTATTTTAAATGTTTATAATGTTTCACAATATTACTTTTTTTTTATCAAATGAAGCCTGGATGAGCATGAGACTTCTTTCAAATATATATATTTTTTTACTAACCTAAGTATAACTGATTTCCTAAATAACTGTGCTAGTTTCTCACATCGGACCACAATATCTTTCTTCTAACATAATAAAATGTATTTGGCAAGTAGTCATGTAGTGGGATAAAACACTCAGTTGATCATTAACGCAAAAAAAGAGAAGCTTTATTAAGCAATTAGTTCACTCAGCAGGTCTGAGGCTTTTCAAATACAAATTCGCTATGGTTTCGGTTTTAGTTTCTGCACTTGTGGGTGGATACCTACACCAGTATATGGTCATTCAAAAGTTCCTATGTCTGACAAACATTTTCCAGATTGATTTTCTTCTTAACTCTGGCCTCTGAAAGACTCTATGTTGCTATAGTAGCATTTGTGTCAGCGCATCAGGTCTGGTGTTTATTCAGGCAGGGTAGCCAATCATTATTAAAACAACTCCAAAGGTCTACAGCCTCGGTCACTCACCACAACATTTCCGAGACTTCCTCAATTACTTCCTCAATTCTAAGAAAATGATTTCCATTCAGAAGGCAAAGCTGTAAAAATCTACTTTATGAAACTGACCCCTGTGTGTCGAATGCTGCATTGACCGTACCAGTTTTAAAGTCCGCATGATATCAAAATTGACAGTTCTTACAGAATGTTGCAGTGTTCATTATAAATGATTGAGTTGGTTCTGTCTTTGTTTCCAGATGTGCACTCCAGCCAACACACCAGCGACACCCCCCAACTTCCCAGATGCCCTAGCCATGTTTTCTCATCTTAAAGCCTCCGAGAGCTTCGGCAACAGCAGTCCCATCTCTCCTATGGCTACATCACCAGCTCCTCACACCAACTGGGCCATGAGCCCTCCGGCGACCCCTGGCCTGCAGGGCCGATGGACTCCGGGTCAGCTCGTGCCGCAGACGGTCTCTCCAGGCTGGCCCGCAGCTGTGACTCAGCAAGCCTCCGCTGAGCATACTATTATTGTCATGGAGGCCGAGAGATAGAGACTGCTTGAACTAGCCATCACACCATACAGGAAGAGGAGGATGGACCTTCCTCTGGATGATTTCGGCAGTTGTGGATGTAAAACTGAATTGAAGTGAGCGGTATGGGAGAACGGTTGTGGTGGAACAGCATATGTCCTCTCCTCTGAGGTCACTGGAGATCTGGGACTCTTTTACAAAAGCTTTTTTTGGCCAAAAAGATGGACAGAAAGAGCAATTATGTAGCATATTCACAGATAACCTCAGACAAATGAATGTGTTACTAAATATAGTTGATTTCAGCAGTTCTCAAGTAATAGTGAATAGTCTGTTTTGCACTGTTTACTCAAGGGATTGTTACCCGCTGTCATGTCATTCCAAACCTGTATGACTTTGTTAAATCGGACACCATTGACTTGCTTTTTATGGACAAAAAGAGTTGAAATGTTCTTCAAAGTATCTTCTTTTATGATCTACAGATGAAAGTCATATGGGTTTAGGATAAGTATAACGATAAAGATGTACGGTAGTTTTAAAAATACACACTATAATGATAACGGCACAGAGAAACAACATCGTAGGATTCACTTTCACAGTGATTATTTCCAGTTGATGAATGATAAAAACATTGACAGCCAATCAGAATCCAGTCTGCTCGAGCTTGAGCATTTCAAGCATCAGACGGCAAAACTGCAGCGCACGCTTAGAATAAACAGAACAATATCATCCGCTGGTGTGGACGCTAACATAGCTTATCTTTATAGTTATCGTTCTTGACGTAAACGGGCCTTTAGAATTAAAAAAGTTAATGATGACAGAATGTTTATTTTTGAGTGAACTGTCCCTTTGATTGACAGGTTTACTGCAGCAATCATATGATATTATTATAATTATTGACTGACTTATGACTCTGTGATGAATTGAATTGGCAGTTTGTATAAAAAATAATGCAATAGGAAGCGTTTCATACCCAGAATGTTAAATTCTCTGGTTCTACTCAGCACTTACAGCACATTTGTCTGTTTTATCATGAACCCCTATTTTAATATATAAAACGAGATTACATTCCTCCTATTTCTTTTGACAGATCTTCTCCCTGTTACTGTGTTCACACTGCCTCCACAATATTTGTGGACTGTGATGGTTATTTCCTTTTTTTGTGTTGTTTTTAAATAAATATTGTATATATTGCAAACATACAAAGATGTAAAATATTTACGTCTGTTTTCCTTATAGTGTAAATGGGGTCACTTCATGTATGACCTTTGTATCCTTTTATACCACGGTAAATGATTACACAGACCCAGAGGTAACTTTAATTCAGCAAAAAATCAATCCGATTCCACTTCCATATAGTGACCATAATTACATTTGATTTTGAGCTCACATCTTATACCTTTATTTATTTCGTGTTTAATTTCATAACACTAAATTTTGCCTTCAATTCTGTACAATATACTTAAAGTTGGTCAATATACAAGAAATGGGTAATATCAAATACATTATCTAACAAATTAATTCACAGAGATCCCAAAGTCAAGGAAAACCAGTGTGTGATTTACAGACCTGGAAAAACATTGAAATTAATATGAGCTTAAAAAGTTGTGGAAGTTTCTGTTCTGAATATCAGCTTTTCTAGTTGTTAGCAGCTCTAAGAAACGTCATTACCTAAAACCTCCTTGTGATTGCAATCTCTATACAAAAGAAAAAAATATGCAGAGAATATGCCAGTTTAACTGCAAGTAATTTTGTTTAGCTTTGCCTTTGTGAAACTATAAAGTTGGACATTCAAAACTAAAGACCCGTTCACACGAGTTCTAAAAGTACATATACAAATAAAAAAGAGTGAAGTCCACACTACAATTATAAAGATAACGGCACAGAGAAAGGACATTTTGTTTCAGAACACTTTCAGAAAGATTTTTTTCAGCTAAAAAAAAAAAAATTTGACAGAAAATCAGAAGCAGACGACAGACCTCCAGCGCGCTTAAAATAAACAACGATATCCGCTGGTGATGTGGACGCTAATATAGTTCTCTTTAGTTCTTTTTTATTTATCGTTCTTGGTGTGAACCGGCCTTAAATGTAAAAAGGAAAACCTCATCGTATTTTAACTGTAACAAAGTTTGGACAGGTTTTAAAAAAAAATACAATGGGATTTAATAATGCAACAGGCATGAACATTATTTGCTACTTGCTAAGTCTGACAAAAACCAACTTCGTCAAGATAGATTTCAGAGTCATTGAGTTCACTAGCATATTGGTGACACACACGGACTAAAAGTGACCAAACTTAAAGGGATAGTTCACTCAAAAATGAAAATTACCCCATTTACTCACCCTCAAACCATCATAGGTGTTTGACACCTTCTTCAGACGAATACAATCGGAGTTATATTTAAAAAATGTCCTGGCTCTTCCAAGCTTTATAATGGGAGTGAATGGCCGTTTCTGTTTTAAAGTCCATCAAAAGTGCATCCATCCATGATAAAAGTGTTCCACACGGCTCCGGGGGGTTAATAAAGGGGGCTCCGGGGGGTTCCTAAAAAATTTTTATTATTAAAAATATCCATATTTAAAACAATAGGTTACTGATCATAACCCCAGTTCTCTGAAACATCGAGTGGAAAGATCCACCTATGGGAAGGGCATCCACACCTGACCTCTGCAGAACCATCCAATTGCACCAAGTCTGGCCTGACAGACAGAAGCGCGTGTCCAATGCTCGGTAAGGGACCCGCCCCTTTACCAAGTGTATAAAACACAGGAGCAGAACTGTCTTGAAAGACAAATTCTTAAGGAAAAAAACTTCCCAGGGGCTCAAACGGCTGTTGAGACATTGCGTCCAGCACCATGGAGAGGTCCCGCTCAGGAACGACTCTCCTGGGGACTGGAAGAGAGCGGCGTGCGTCCTTCATATACCTACAAAAAAGGGGGTGTTGCCCCACCGTAGCGCTGTCGAACCCCACATGACATGAAGCGATAGCCGCTAAATAGACCTTAATAGTGGAAAAGGATCTTCCCTTATCCATAAGGACCTGCAAAAAGCATAAAATGTCAGTGATTGAGCACTGATATGAAGTTACCCATCGCCCTTCACACCACTCTTCGAACACACGCCACTTACAGTCATAAAGGGACCGTGTCGAAGAGGCTCTGGGACACTGAATGGTGGCCACAACACGTGGGGGGAGCCCCAATGTGTTTAAGTTGGCCCTTACACGGGCCAGGCCCAGAGGGCCACCCTGTCTGGGTGCGGGTGACAAATTTCCCCGTTCGCTTGGGACAATAGGTCTGTGCGAAGTGGGAGGGGCTACCGCTGGGCATACAGCAGAGGGATAATCTCTGAGAACCACTTGCCTTGGGCCACCTGGGAGCTATCAAAATCATGGTCAAGCTCTGTTCCCTCACCCTGGCCAAAGACGGCGTTATGAGGCAAAGGGGAGGAAATGCGTAGAGCAGAACGTTGGGCCACGGATGGGCCAGTGCGTCCACGCCGCGGGGGGCGTCCTCGTCCCGTAGCGAGAAGAACATAGGACAATGGGCGTTTTCGCGTGAGGCGAAGAGATCTACGGTTGCCTGGCCGAACCTCCTCCACAGTAGACCCACTATCTGAGGATAGAGGCGCCACTCCCCGTAGAGAGGGTTTCCCCTTGACAAGAGGTCTGCGCCCCTGTTCAATATGCCCGGGACATGGGTCGCCCGTACCGACAGGAAGTGCCGCCTGCTCCATACTAACAGCCTGTGAGCGAGAGCATGCAGCTTGGAGGAGCGCATCCCCCCCCTGGCGGTTGATATATGCTACAGCTGTCGAGCGTTCCATACACCAGCACATGATGCCCCTGCAAGCGGGGCAGAAAGTGATTCAGAGCCTTTCACACAGTGAGGAGCTCTAAATAATTTATATGGGCTGAGTGAAGTGTGCTTGGCCACACCCCATTCACTGTTCTGCCCTCTTGCGTGGCTCCCCATCCTGTTAAGGACGCGTCTGTCGTCACTACTTTCCGCAGCATAATTGCCCCGAGAGGGGTCCCATGCATGTAAAACTCTGCGTTCCTCCAGTGGCGCAGCGCTGCTGTGCATGAGCGCGTCACTATGACAGAGCGGCGGAGATCGCTTAAAGGGCTGAGATGAAGAGATAAAACCCACTTCATGAACGCCCTCATTCTCAGAAGGCCCAAAGGCAGGACATGTATAGCCACCGCCATAAGACCCTGTAGCCTGAGACATGCGCGATAATGTACTCTCGTTCCTTCTTTGAATTGTGAGAGGCAATTCATTAAGGAGAGAACACGCTCTTGTGAGAGACGTGTGCGCATTGTAACCAAATTCAGCTCCAGACCCAGAAAAATAACTCTCTGCGCGGGAGTGAAATTGCTCTTGCTGACATTCACTCTGAAGCCTAACGCTGTGATGTTTTTGCATGACGATCTCTCTCGAATCGGCCAATCAGCCAATCGTCTATGTAAGTCATCATTTTGAGCCCCGCTATTCTCAGCGGGGCTAACCCCGCTTCCGCACACGTACAAGACACTCTTGGACTGAGTGCTAGGCCAAATGGAAGCACTGTAAATTCGTAACATATGCCTTGGAAGGCGAAACAAAGATACTGTGTGGCGGATAAATGCTTATGTGGAAAAAAGCATCGATCGATGTGAACCAATCGCTCTGTTTTATTGCACAAGAGAGAACGTTGTGGGTAATAACGGGAGTAAAAACCCTGTTGACATTGATGCGGAGGCACCTCTCGCACCACCCCCTTCTCGAGAAGAGAAGAGATCTCGTCTTTCAGAATGTGCGCGGAGCTCTCTTCTGTGTGAGAAAAGATAACTCCGCTGAAACGTGGATGTTTTCTGGCAAACTGAAGTCCGTAGCCCTTCATTATGGTGCGAATAACCCATTCTGGAGCCGACACAGACTGCCAGGCTGTCGCGTGTGACGTGAGAGAGTCACCGGCACCACACTCACCGGCGAGTTGCCCTAGGGCTGCCAATACAACCAGATCGTTCATTTGTGACACAATGGCACCATCTAGTGGACAACGTAGGGGCGACATGTAGGATTTCTGAGAAACAACAGCACTTGACAGAGCTTTCGCTCTCAGTGTTTGATATGTTTGTTGTTTTTTTGTTGTTGTTTTTTTTTAAACACACACACGGAAATGAACCTTTATTGAATGTGTGTGAGGTGGTTTGTGCAAACTGTGAAGAGACTGTGGTTGAGCACTTTTCAACAGTGGTGGGGCACTTTTGGACAGTGAATTTCCCCCCAGTTCTGAAACTGGAAGCGGAAATTTGGGTTGGTGGGT